TCCGTCCAGAAGACCTATACAATTTATTTCTTTTTGATTTTTTTACCTGGATTACTGAGATGTATCATTACTGCAACTTAACAGATTCTTTAGTTTTCTGGTTGAAACTTTGCTTTGAAGTGTAAGAACTTTTGTTTGTTAGCAAAATTTCTCATGGACCACAAATCAGGTTTTAATGAAACTCTCAAACAAGAATCATTACATTATTATTATTGTTGTTGTTGTTGTTGTTGTTGTTGTTGCTTATTTCAGTATATTCTCAAAGTTAGTTTTCCTTGTTTCTCTGTAAGATTATTCTTGTGTTTTTGATCTTTGTGTTGTTTCTTGTTTACCTTCAGTCAGCTTCCTCTGGTAGTTTTCCAGTCCTCATTCCACCCTCACCTGTCAGTGATCAGTCCCAGGAGCCGTTACTTGTCCCGCTGGTCTCTTATCTCCACTTCCTTGTCAGAACATTCGATGGCTTCAGCMGGCAGTCACGGTTGTCTTCCTCGAGTTTCTTCATTTGTAAGCGTTGTCTGCCATTGTTTTTGTTTAAAACAAAAGACCTTATTTCACTGAGCTCCTCATGCCTGACTGCATTCCAGGGTCAATCTTCCACGGCCCCAGAGTCGTCTCCATACACCAATTTTAAGACCCCTTCAGAAAAACCTATGCATGAATTTTTCTGTTTTCAGATTTTTGGTCGYTGGGAGAAAACCACACAWGCACAGGGAGAACATGTAAACTCCACCCAGAAAGGTCCCAGGTGGGAGGTGATGACCCCCGGGCCCACTCTCCATGTCTTATGTTTCCTTATTAACTAAAATCATTTTCCCTTGTTTTTGTTTTGAACTGAAAACTTTTAGTTGTGATTCAGTCTGAGTCACTCTGCAGAAATGTTATGTGATAAAAATGTTAAGAAGTATATAAAATAAGATGACAGTGGCTTTCAAACCCCAAAACACGTTACCCCAAAGATCTGGGGCCTCATGTGTAAACGGTGCGTACGCATYAAAAAGTTGCGTGCACCAGGTTCTACACCCACGTTGTGATGTATCAAAACCATATATTTACGCACACTTTTCACCTGCCGTGAGAKTGTGCGGCAYCCACGCAAAGTTTTTCAGTCGACAGTTTTAACTCACAAAGTCATGAATCTGACCTGAATCCACAGAAATATGAGTCTGTTGTGTTTTCTGGATGAACACGGTGTCAATTTTTTTTAGTTTGAGTTTTTATTCTTTAAACTGAATGATCATGAAACTGAACCCCGGGACTGAAAATCATTTAACCTCAGACAAGAAAATAGAGTAGTCTAAAAAATAATCAAAAGAACCTCAGTCCAGTCTGTAAACTGTTTTTATATTTTTGACACATAGTTGAAAACCTTTTGGGTCCCGCGGGCCGGAAAAACCCGACACATTACGTGCAGCATTAAAATAATAATAATAAAATTAAAAAGGCTGAAGAGAGGGAGGAAAATCGGATGCAAATGGTGGCTCACTGTACGGTAAGAATAATTA